TATATATATATTTATAAAAACAAAATCGTACATTAAAACAGAGATGTGCAAATCCCAGGAGCTTCGTGTGCTCCTTACAAATGACAGCTGCCTCCTAACTTTAACATTTTTCTCTAGTCTTGTCCTGGAGCTCGAAAAGTATCTGTATATGTACTTGTACTTGTACAGAGTAAGGTACTAGGTATTGGTGCATCCCTAGTTCAAATGCCTCACCACTCTATCCAAAACTAAACATGTTGGCTTTACATACACTTTGATGTTAAGAAATATATTAATCTAAGTTCACTTTAAGGAGTAAGAAATAGGGAATAGGATTATAGCCCACAACATACGGAGAGCAATAGTTACTGTATTTGTATTGTAAGCCTTTCCACAGATATTCTACCTTGTGATGATCTTATATGAAAAGATATGATTACTCAGAAATACCAATCCAGTCTTTGGAAGATCACCCCCTCTTACAATATCTGCATCTGTATTCAGTCAGTGGAAATGTATCAAAACTGGAGAAGAAAGAATCTGGAGGAGTTGACAATGGCAACCAATCAGCATCCACCATTCATTTTCAAACTGTAACTGAACAAACTGAAAACAAAAAGCTGATTGGTTGCCAAAGATAACTGCTCCAGATTCTTCTGCTCCAGTTTTGATAAATTCCCCCCTGTGTGTTTTAAGTGACTTAGTTTACAGTGCTGGCTTATCTTGATTATTTGTGCTATATATCGGAAATGAACAAAGAATTGTACTAATCTTTCTAAAGGTGCCCATACACTCTACAACCCTCGCAAGACTTTTGTCTTGTGAGGGTTGTAAAGTACTTAAAAAACGTACGATCTGCCCATCTTGGAGAGGCAGATCGTACTTGCGATCATTGCAAGCCCGCCCCCCTGAGGTGCGGGTTTCCGATGACTGCAATGCTGAACGGGCAGTGTGCGCGTGCGCACACTGGCACATTCGGCAGTGATCGCTCGATCATGTTAAAAAACAGTTTTCCAACATGCTCGATATACAAAAGTCGAGCGACCGTACATTAGAAACGGTAGCACGCCTTCCATACACTGCACGATTCTCGTACGATCGCGGGATTTCCCGCGATTCTCGTACGAGAATCATGCAGTGTATGGGCACCTTTAACCTTCCTGTTATTTTGTAGAGCTGAGCCTGGTCTACTGTGAGGCCCCCTGGTGCGCTCATGTGTGCCCCGACTGAGAACAGAGTACACACCAATCTTATCGGTCAGTCACTCTGTACAAGAGATTGCTGACTGGCCAGCAAATGCAAAGCCTTCACATCCAGCTCAATTTTATGTTGCACTGCCATTATATAGATTAAGGACTCAGATACCATATGCTTTTTTTGGCAAACATGCCATGTTTTGTATTGTGACAGTTCATGCCAACAAGCTACACTGTTGGGGGGGGGGGCAGGCAACATTTGATTGCACAGCAGCATCCAGCTGCAGCATGCATTAAGTTAAACAAAAGTAATGGCCTAAAAAAACTCACACCGCAATGTATGTAAAATTGCACCTCTGTACACATCGTTATCATCAAGGATTTGGAAACTTAGTGCCTATTCACAACATATACAGTGTGTTCCAGCACGGTTAGCTGCTGGAACGCACTGTATCGCATTGTAAACTCCCCCCTGTGCATGCAGCATTTTGTCCCAACGCACTGGACCGTAACACAGGCATTGTTGTGCCCACGTTCTGGTGCGGGTGATCGCACTACGTGTGGGGGGCGTGGCTGAGGTGCCATTGACTTCAATGCACCACCACGCCCCCTCCTGCCCCAGAACGCAGGGGGGAGTTTACTATGCAATACAGTGCATTCCAGCAGCTAACCACTCTGAAATGCACTGTATGTGGTGTGAACAAGCCCTTAACCTTGTACGCATGCAAACGCCGGTGTCGAAACTTGCAGGCGTACACCTGAGTACAGGGTTTGCTGTTTATGCAGACAGAAAACTGCAGCAGCTATGGCTCCCGGAGCTGCAAATACAGGCGTTATTACGCTATATGAAAATAGACCTGTATTTGCTCTGCGATGTGTGCCCCTTCCGCCGCCACTGCCGGCTATTCCAGGCTACACTGCTCCTCAAGTGGGCCTGGGACTGGCATGGTGGGTGTCAGAGGCTGGATCGGAGGGAGGTCAGCACACTTCCAGAAACCAAAAGAGACGGTGATTTTGTCACTTCTGTTTTCAGGCTTTCATTTCTCCAGCTGTTGGAGCAGGAGAAGAAGTATGATGTGTGCTTCATCAGCTTCTCGGAAATCCTTAAGCCCTTAGGCACAGAAATGTGCAAAAAATTTGCCTTATGGATGCCTATTGAAACGCGTGATTCTGCCCAAAAAGAAGCTCATGGGTTTTTCTCACGCTAGCAAGCAACACAAAAACATTGAAAATAATGTAATCCTTCATGTTCAGCATTGTTGTGCTTCACGCAAAACGCTCGGGTGTAAAAGGGGACTAAAAGAGCTGTTTAAAAAAAAAAAACCTGATTAGGGCCCTGTTCACAAGACGTCCGTTTTCTGTGCTGACCTGATCCGTACGCTCCTGCACTAAAAATGTATCCCAATGTGTTTTATGGGCTACAGTTCTCACGTGCGCAGTCGGTTCAGGTTACGACAGAAAAATACTGCATGTCACATTTTGTACGGTCAGGAAACGGTCCGGAAACGCAAAACACGTCAAAAACGCACTACGCTGCAGCTAACATACTGACAGCCCCACTCCAGCAAAAAAAAAAATTTTTTTTTTTTTTTTACTGGAACGCATCAAAAAACCGGCAAAACACATAGTACCGCGTCTGCAGATCCTCACCTGATCCGGACCTGAAAATCATGTGAACAGGCCCTAAAGACCTTAGTGCAAGTCTCTTTGTTGGGAGTGCTCAGTTTGTGCCCCATACACAGCAAGATTGTGCAACGATTACATCAAAAACATTCATATCATGTGACAGTCTTATCCCACGTGTGCCCGCTTTCACAATAGTATGACAAAAGCGAGCAGATGCACTGAAGCAGAATAGAAGGTCTCAGGCTGAATAAACCCCGGGTAGAGAAAATACATGTCTTTTTCCTATATAGCCTGTGTACGCCTTTCAGTGCCAGAACTAGAGAAGCCAGCTTGCTTCCGTATGTGAATCATTACTCAAGCAGCCTGCTTCTTAGTGAACTGTGGTTTTCCTCTAAAGGAAGAACAGAAAACACTGAATTACTCAGTCTGGTATACACACACATGCTGACACCAAAAAAGAAAAGAGCACTTCCATGATGAGAAAAGCTAATATCCCTCAAGTCGAATCTGTAAGTATTTAAACCTCTTTTCCCTTTCTGTAGCTGTGTTCTCCAGCCAGCGACTGATATCTCAGAGTCTTTGGGAAGTAGATGGATAAAAGGTTCTTATTCGGCAGATGCGGCAGAGGACGGACTCTTCCTCTGTGCCCCGAGCGGCTAAAAATAACCTCATATTTAAATGGTAATTAATAAGCCATGTACCAGTCCATGTGGCATGCCAGATTATGTTCCTGACGGATGGCAGATTGCGTTTTGGTTTAGGGATCCCATATAGGAAGAAATTCAGCGGAGTTTGGTGCAGTTCTCATATTTATTCCTTGTTCTTTCTTGTCATTCAGGAATTGGGTTCATTCTGCCTTTTTGTTTTTACTCATTTACAGCATTTTTGTGTACTTTTGAAGCCACTCTCATGGTTTTCCAAAAGAAATGCAGGGTTTCATCGCTTCTTATTTCTATAGTTTGATGCTTTGACAGATGCAGTGTGAAAGACAGATTAAAGTGATATTAAAGACAAAAGGTTTTAAACTATTTCAAATGCTGAATAAATCACTTACAATGGATGCTTCTTCTTGATGTTTAAAAGTTTTAGTTTCCCGCAGAATCAGCTGGTCTCCCGAGCACTGGCTCTGATATCCTGAGCACTGGACCTGATATCCTGAGTACTGGCCCTGATATCCGGTTTTAGCGTGGCTCCCTTCCCTTGCCGGGTCCTATGGAGCCAACCTTGTGTGTGCCAGTAAGCTGTGTGTGTCTGCACAAACATGCAGACACAGAAAGGCATGTCACTGCCCTGCTCCTTGCTCCCCGCTCTTCCCTACTGCAAGCTAGTAGATGGACGGCTGGAGTCTGCTCTGTTCCTTGTAATCTTGTACTGGAAAGGAAGTTTTGGGAAGCTGAACTAAGAGAAATTGAGCCAGCTGTTTGGAAACATGACAACTGTTAAGTGCTTGGGCAAAAATGTAAAGAAATAATTTGCTGGGCAATATATATATATTTGTTTGATCTGGATTCATTATTGAAAAAAAGAAAAGAGTATTTAATCTTATTTTAAGAAATACGGCAAATCAGTGTTCAGCTTTGATTTCCTAAAGGCCCGTTCACACCAGATGCAGTGCGTTCCAGCCGGATTCTAGCCAGAACGTACTGCCTCGCATTGCGGCTGGCTCACTTTTTTGTGTGGCTAGAGGGGGCGTGGCGGGCCATTGAAGTAAATGGAACTGTAGCCATGCACCCTGGCCGCAATGCGATCGAACGCACGGGATCACAAGGCACATTATGCTTGTGGTCCGGTCTGATAAAAATGCTGCAAGTACTATCTTGATCGTACCGGACTGGACCGGACTGCAGGCATAATGTGCCTTGTGATTCCGTGCGGCCGATCGCATTGGGGCCGGAGGGCGTTGCTAAGGTGCCATTCACTTCAATGGCCTGCTACTCCCCATCCTGCCCCACAAAAAAAGTGAGCCGGCCGCAATGCGAGGCAGTGCGTTCTGCCTAGAATAGGGCTGCAACGCACTGCATCTGGGCATCTGGTGTGAACGGGCCCTAAGCCATACTAAAAAAATGAGAACTGATGTATGCTCTTTGCTGTGTTTTTTATTGTTCAGTTTAGTTGTGTGGAAATGTAAATTTGTCTTTGCTGCTTTGGTAGTATAACATGAAAGAGCTGATCAAAACATTGTTAATAAGCAGGTAAGGACTAATTTATTTTTAACCTGGGAAAACTCAAGTCTCATTATGTAATAATACATTAAAGTGCAACTTTTCTTTTAGTTTTGGATAAAGTGGAGAGGGATTAGACCCACTGTCATGTGTTTTTTTTATGTCTATGTCCCAGTTACGGATATTTCCTCACTCTATTTGTCCTGGTGACCATTATCACTGAAAGTCATTTTGGGTGGTCATCAGAACAGGAATAGATGGGAAATTTTCAGTAGGGACACTAGTTCTGGTGACCCTGCTGACGACCAGGGATTTTGCCTTTGGAGGGATTTCTTCTCACTTCCTGTTGTGGCAGCAGCAGGAGTGGGTGTCCTTGGGTAACAACAATACAAAACACAAAAATTCCCCAGCCCCAACCTGCCAGCCAGCCTGCAACCAAACAAGTAGCCCTGTCAACAGTATGCGTTAAAATCAGAGGTTTTAGTTGCACAAACTTTTGGCCAAAAATATGTAGAAGCCACACTGCCGCGCCAAGGCACCTCTGCAAAGTGTAGTCCTAACTCTATGTATCTGAGTCTCCAAGTGTGAGCATATTAATGAAGTCGATAGATTGCATGCAGGTGTACCTGGAGGTAGCCTACTCCTCCTAATAAGGTGCAGGGACGCACTGGGGGCCCAGCAACCAAAAATGCACGCTGGGACCCCAGTGCATCCCCCACTTTTTTCTAGCTTGGGTAACAACATTGACACTCTAGGACAGGAAGTTCCGAGGAGGGCTCATCCTTGCAGGATCACCAAGTAGAGGAAGAAGTAAAGGAAGTCTGCAAACAAAAAACAAGCCCTCACAGGAACAGACCTTAGGTAAGCTTGCATATCCATAATTTATAGTGAAGATAAACTTCCACAAAGGCACACAGATGGCAAGAAACCTCACAGGGGTTATAACCCTCCCTTACTATATATATAAAACAAAACAAGTTTTGGCTTCAGTGTTACTTTAAGGCAGAGGTGGGCAAACTCCAGCCCTCCAGCTGTTGTGGAACTACAAATCCCATGAGGCTTTGCAAGATAATCACAACTGAAAGGCCGGAGTTTGCCCACCCCTGCTTTTCACACTGCAATGCTGACGAGGTCGGTTGCAATGTGTTGCATAAAAATTCAGACATGCTGCCTCTGTCCCTCACACACCGGGACTCACCTGAAGTCGCAGTAAGCCACTGCAATACAACTCAGCTGCAGTACATTAACTTTAATGAGGTGTCATTTTGTGACACTTCAATAAAGTTAGAAAAAAAATGTCAACAGCGTGATGCACTGAAACATTGAAGAGCACTCCTCCGGCCGCCCATACAAAACACTGCTGGCTACTGTGAACAGGCCCTAAACCTCAGCTCCAGCCAAAACTTGTGTTTTTGTTTTGTGAGAAATGGTTAGAATCACTGTCAGGTTTTTACTGCAGTCTGAGACCTCAGATTTTTATTTACCACCAAAACATAAAAAAGTGTGTTTAAACACAAATTTAAAAAAAAGGTTTATGTGTAGGTGCACAATGCGTCGTCCCTACAGATAAATGCTTCACTACAGGCAGCCTAAGGACTACCTACGAACAGCATCAGTGCTGGGGAGCATGGGACATGTAGACATATTGAAGCAGGCCACTTTCCCACTTCAAGAAGTGCATTCACGGCTATGCCACTCATGCATGTATTGGAAGTATAGGTGGATGCAGCAGCACCATGCACAATATGGCGATTATAAGTAAGTTGATAAAAAAAAGACGCCAAACAATGGATCCTTCTATCTGTGTAATACACTTTGCATCTATTAGTTGTTTATTGATTTCTCCTTTAACATGCAAACACTGATAAATCTGGCAGACCTTTGTGTTTTTGTAGCTTTCATGCATGTGTGCTTTTGTGTCCCTAGTGGAGAGATTTCCCTTCACTTCCTGTCCCTATAACACCCCATCTTTGGACCGAGAAGCAATTAAAAATCTTTTGAAAGTGACATAGACAGCAATAAAATCTGACAGAGACTCCAACCTTTCCTATTGTATTCAAAATCAAAAGAACTGTTTGACTTGGTTTGTGGATTAACATTATTAGGTTTCTTCAACAAAGTATTGCAAAGAGCAGTGATAGAGCAGTGATAATGTACGAAACATATACACCTCTAGTGTTTGCACTTCCCTGGTGTTTCTCCAGTGGGAGGATTCCTCCTGCCACTCTGCCTGGGATTGCCGCATCTATCCATTGTTGGTTCGGGTCTCCCATCCCTGTTCCTACTGTTCCTAGCTCCATTGCTGTTCCTAGCTCAATTGCTGTCCCTAGACTGTTCCCAGCTCCATTGCTGTCCCTATAATGAGGGAGGCTGAGGCCTGTTGCCTTAGCCTTAGATGCCATCTCTTTGGGTCACATGGGGGGACAGCAGGTAGAGCGGCATAGTTTGCAGTGTGCCTACCACCCCCTTTCTGGCCAGAGTGTCCCAGGTTACTAAGAGCCCAGAGGGGAGATGTGTAAGGGCCATACACATCTCCTTGCCCAGCTCTTAGCATATTGGGACGGTGTCCTGCCCAGCTCATGGCAACCAGTGATGCCATTGGTTGCCAGGAGCTGATCGGGATGCTCTGGCCAGAACTCACTATACCATCTTATTTTCTCAATGTCACAGGCCAGGTTTCAGGAAGTCTTCCTATAGGTAATAGGTGTAAAATAAGCGAATCTAATGCATGTGTGGTCTGGACAGGTGAACAAGAACCTGTGAGGTCCTGGTCCTGGAACCTCTCAGGTATCATCTCTGCCTATTATCTAGACGAGATGCCAACCAGGGTAAACGTATGGCCTTTTTACACTCATGCGTTGCAGTGATGCGTGTTACTACATGCGTCAACTCACCTGTCCTACTGTGGTGCATTGCTGTACCATTGATTGTGAATGGCAACCCATGTACAGAAGAAGCCAATGCACAATGCATCACAGTGCCCCACGATGCAAGGTATATGGTGTCGGAGAAACGGTCATGTCCATTGGTCTGTTGAGGTGCGTTGGCAGCCCCTTTATAATGAATGCAGTTAATGAAAAGCATGTTAGTGCTGACCACAATGACCGCACAGATGTTAGTAGGCACGCTTTGACTGCTATTTTAAGTTTGATATTGGTTCTATCAATAATATGAATGTTTAGATTTATGTTACCAGTTCTCAGCCTTGTTTTTTTACCTCCTATAGGGGGAGTCATTTCTGCACAACTACTACTTGTTGTCACTGGCTCCTGCTGAAATAAACTACAACATAAGGCGCCCATAGAATAAATGATCATGACCGATTGGCCAAGGTTAGACCTAAGCTG